TTGGCTTCTCGACGACCAATGGGAGCTCGCCACGTGTCCCCATTTATGGCTACGTCAGGATTGAAGCGACGGGATGAAGAGACGAAGAGCCAGCCGAGCTACTTTCGACGAAAAGGCTGTAAGCCGAGGAACATGACCGGGGAAGGATAGCAGATTAGCTCGGTGAAGACTTGGCGACTTGACGACCGGAGAAATGTTATCTCGGTCGAAGTGAGTAATCCCAGTCACGCTTTCGCGGACGGGATTAAGGGGCAATTGAGAGGGTGATTTATGATCCGGTGTTGGGCCGAGGTATAGACCGAGCAAGTTGAGGGCCCAGCAGAGCATTGGGCCGAGATGATCGACTGTTCACCCGGAGATGGGCTACCAGAACTTGGGCCGGGCAGAGTTTGGACTGAGTGTGTGCTGCCCCGGACCGTGCAGAAGCAGCTCGGCCAGGAAGTGACCGGTTAGACCAGGATGCTCGGTCCGAGGATGGTCGAAACCAGACAGACCGAGAGACCGGCGCTCGGAAAGGCGCGGTCAGCCGAGGTAGTTGATTGACCGACAAGAAGGCCGACCAAAGGAGGAGCCCGGGCTAGGCTTTGCCGAGATGCCGCCTAGCCCGGTCCTTCATTTCTTTATCCGGTTAGGCGCTTAAGGTATGAAGCATGGTATGACCGAGGAAGGGCAGCTCGGCTGCCGAGCTCCAGCTGCGAAGTCAGGCAGTTGAGGTTAGGTGGTGAATGGCATGGTTTATGCTGACAGACGGGATAGCAGAGCCACGTGTCAGGAGATGACAGGGAGTGGATATGGAAAAAAAAAAAAAAATTAAAATAACAGTGTGATGCGATCTACTGGGGGAGAACGCAATGGATGCATGCAAGCTACAATGGAAATGCATGACAATGCACTATGATGCAACAACTATGATTGCAACTTTCCCTTCTCTGTAAGGATTTCTTACACTCAAACACTCTCTCCCTTCTCTCTATTCCCTCTAAGGTGTGTGCTAACTTGACCGTCGGAGGGTTTTTCCGGCCACACACCGCCGGGTAGCTCACCGTTATTTGCTCACAGGTGATCGGACGTCGACGGAGCTAGGAAGAAAGGAATGCGGGCACGCTGAAATATTTGCTCCCCGCACATATAGAGTTTAAATTGAAGTGGGAAGGATTTCAGGGCACATCTATGCAGTGGTTGGTGGTTATTTATTTATTACCTTTTAAAATCAAAGATCATTTGTATCCAAAACCAACTTCAAGCAATTGGGATTTGAGTGTGACTGTGTATTAGTTTCTTAAATCATACAGTTCTCAGAGCCATTAAACCTTAGGTGCCCTCTATAGTAACCCTATTTCTTAGATCCAGTTGTTGATGATGGTTTAGTTTTTTAAAGCTTAAATATATATATATCTCTGATCATGGGTGTTGCCATTGTGACCTGTTGCAAAGGTACTCAAGAAAACCATCTCTGTGTACATATGATTGCAGTTAGGACATTTTCAGATGTTCTTCATGATTCATGGGTTTATAAGTCCATATAGTTTTAACATGGTTTGTGTGGTTAGTCAAACTACTGAAATATAAGCTTTTTGTCCGACACGGGCATCAAAGTCATTAACACAAAAGAACAAGTGAAGAACAACAAAAATATTAATGTTTCTATGAACATAATTTGTTAATTATTGTCAAATAAGTCTATCTCTTAAAAGGTGTAAATGAATAATAGAATCTAAAACTTACTCGGTAGTAATAATATTAGGTGAAATTACACTTTATCCTAGATATGTTTGTGATTGGTTAGGGCTTTGTTATATTTAGCAGACTTTGTTATTGGCATTAACTTATTGAATCCATCATTTGGGTTCATAATAAATTTGAAGTTGCTCATGCTATAGAGCATAGATCCTCGAGCATTGTACATGGATGTGTTATAGGAGTAACTATATATTTTTTGGGTGGAATTGCCACAACATGTGCATTGTTCTTAACAAGAATTACTGTAGTAAGAAAATGGCTAAGAGGATTTGAAAGGCATTGTGGCACAAAGATTTTTAAGGTTTAGTCAAGACTTAGCCCAAGATCCCACTAATGGTCGTATTTGGTATGGTATTGCTACTACACATGACTTCAATAGTCATGATGATATACTGAGAAACATCTTTGTGAGAATATTTTTGCTTCTCACTTTGGGTGATTAACAACGCCACCCTATTAGTACAGATTAATGTGTATTTAGGAGGGAAAAGATTACACACTTAGTGCAATGCAATACACCATGTTACGTGCTTGGTAGAATAATGACACTGAATTGGTCAGTGCTCTGTATAACTTCTGTATTCTCCGTTTCTTTGCGGCAGCATGCAGCGTGCTCATCTGCAGATGGACGACAGACAATCTAAAACAGCTTTAGAAGAGGGAAAACTCGAAGATGCAGTCAGTTGTAGGGCGAAGGTATTTAATATCCACAATCATGTGCTTTATTTCCTCTGTGTATATCAAAAAGTATTTAGATATAACCTTATAGTTTGTGGCTGTAGTACTTCTCTGATTACCAGGCTCTTGCTGTAGTTTTGTAACACACAGGAAACTTTAATCAGGTTTTTTTTAAATCCGTTCGTGTATTTAGCATTTTTTGCTTAACAAATTGTTGGTACGCTTTATAAAGTTCACCATAACAAGAGGATGCCTGATTTAGTTATTTTTGTACAGGTAACTGGTGAAGGAGAAGACAAATATTTGATTGCTACTGCTGAACAACCACTAGGTGCTTATCATCTAGATGATTGGATCCATCCTTCACAGCTACCAATAAGGTTATAACTACTTCCATGAATGATAGTTGCCTTTATGGCTACTAAAGAATGTTGGAGCATGGACACAGATATGACACGATACGAGCACTCTGACAACTTTTAAAAAGATTTGATACATGAAAATGATAATGACTTCATTTTTAATAAATAATAGGACATGCTTGGTCATGTGTCCGATATGTGTGGATGTGTGTCTAACAAGTGTCTGTGTCCAACGTTGAACATGGAAACAACACCTTTTTAGAAGTGTTTCTGCTTTTTAGATGGTGGCTTTTATGTTTTATTTTTTTGGTTATAAATCTTTAGTGGCTGCTCTTTGTTGAATTTATGTTGCATGAATTAGTAGATATGGTGGATATTCTTCTTGCTTCCACAAAGAAGCAGGTTCACATGGTCGCGATACTCTTGGGATTTTCCGAGTTCACCAGTTTGAGAAAGTGGAGCAGTTCTGCCTTACTAGTTTTAAGTTCAAATATTATGACAGATTCTTCACACTTTTATAATAATAATAGATATATTAAGTTCAAACACTCTGTAAATTTGTCTTAGCACCACCGGCCAATAATTTTTCACTGCATCCAAAAGCTAAAAGCCAAGCAACCCTACATGGGACTTCCAAACCAAATGATCCTCTACTCATCCCTCCTCCTTAGTCAGCAACAATGGTGTATGATACTTCAAATTTGGTCGAAATTGCCACTTGTTTTGATTTTTGATGAAACTGGTTTTCACTGGACAAGTCCAATCAGTACACACACACACATATATATATATAGTCGAGACGTGTGAAATTGAGATTAATTTCTATTCATTAAGCCAACCCTTATATATAACCTTATGTATGTTGCTGCTATTGCCCATAAGCACTTCACATTTCACACAAGAGAGCAAAAGAGAGAGAGAGAGAGAGGGAGAGAGAGAGAGAGAGGATTAGACATCAATATGTTAATGGAGGTGTATAAGAGAGTAAATGTACAGGAAATGTTGTCGCCGCTCTTGTCTTTGCCCCTTTTGCTCTCCTCTTTGAAAGGTATTCCTCTCACCCCCCCTCCCTCTCTCTGTTCTTTGCTCTATGAGAGAAGGTTTTAAACTAATCAGAAACCATATGTCTAGTGTTCAATTCAAAGAGAGGCTTGCCCCCATGATAAGAATTGCTGTTAGCGTCCCCAGTGGGGGTAAGGCTGCTTACATCTTATGCTTCCCAGACCCTGCTTTAGTGGAAACTTCGTGCATTGGGTCGTCCTCCTTTAAGATTTGTTGAATTGAGTTACAGATCATGACATGGGTATGATTTCGGATGCACAAAATGGTGTCAGGCTCTCAAGTCTCTACAAACATTGGTTTCTAATTTCACAAGTACTGCCATATCAATGTATTGCATTTAAAATTGTAAGTATTGCATTTTTTTAAAAAGCCATACACAGTAGTTTAAAATATGACGTAATTTTTTTTTCCTTTAGCTTCAAATATGAAGTGTTAAAACTATCATTAACAAAATTATTGCCTAGTGATTTATAGCAAAGGATGCTGTTGCTACGGGGAATAATGTTACAACATTTATACCAATGGCTTATTCATTATCAACCTATGTCTGTGAAGTTGCATTAATCATATCATATCATAGAGAAAATAAAGTTTTACCTATTTTCTGTGCACTTAGAAGTGCTTGCTCCATAGATCATATATTTTATTTAGTCTAAAAGGAATGGTGTAGTGATTCTGTCAAACTTTGAAAAAGGTCACGAGACATGTTTTTTGGTCCATGGTAATTTTGATTTCTTTGAGAGAAGCTTCAAAGCATCAATGGACACCCATGTATTTAGTTCTTTGAGTGGACAGTGGAGTCCATGTGAATGAATCTAATTTCTTGACAGATATGGAGAAACCAATTCAGTAATCAATTGGTTCATAAAACCATTGATGCTGTCTTTCTCCCTTGATGATATCATCACGAAGATGAAGATGTATTGGCTAAAAGCTACTCAAAGGTCCTAAAAAGAATGGTACACTTTATAAAGTGACTGGTCATTGCTTAATTTACGCCTATTTTTTTTACAAGTAAAAACTATTATATAAAAAGGCACCAAGGGGGCACCACCCAATTCTTGATGTGCTACTGCATTATGAGAAGTTTAATTTCTAGCAAGTGATCAAGTTTGATCATAAACTTTTTAATCATAATTTTTTTAAACCAGGTTATAGAGAAATTCCTGTCATTATTCTTTTTCTTTTATTGAAGACTATTAGTCTATTATATTTCTACGCATCCTTGATCATGTTAAATTTATTTCCTCATCTTCAAATTCTTCAAATTCCTCACTAGCTTTTGGCCTTTTATCATTCTGCAGGTTACAAACAGTTGAGGAGATGTTCTCCAATGTAGTCATTACATGCCTATTGTTCGTCCAGAAGGAAAGGCTTTGCCTTGTGTATTCTATTGCCATGGAAACAAGTTAGAAAATAAATGTGGATGAGTAGAGATTGTTCTTATAGAAAAAGTAAGGATAGTATATGGAATATCAAAGGTCTGTCTAATAATTTTTCTAAAAATATAGGTCCTTTACTTGCTTTCTGTCATAGTGTGGATGAGTATTAAGCTGGTAGATAATTGAATTAGCTTTAACAAATTCATTCTGTAAATCTGTTTTACTAACAAGTTGTCTGTATTGATTTTACCAGTGGATGCAGGGCAGATGTCAGTGAAGCGGCTATAATATTGTTGCCTTCAAGCATTACTGTTTTCACCCTTGATTTCTCAGGGTCTGGACTATCTGGAGGAGAGCATGTCACATTAGGGTGGAATGAAGTAAATGGCTGAGCAATTTAAATATTTCCTATTTTATAAAACAGTGTCTGTGTGAATGGAGTGTATTATGTCAGATGATCAAATGAGTTGCTCCAGTCAAATACATTCTTTGAGGATTGAAATTGCTGATGTATAATTTAAACCCTATTATTAACTAACAAGTTGTCTGTATTCAAATACACTAACAAGTTGTCTGTATTGAAATTTTTTTTCCAACCACTTCATGTGGAAAACATTTTCTACAATTTTGAGAACTCTAGCCCACTTGCTCTGATCTTTTTTGTTTTCTAATTTTCTGTTTACTTACAGTATTTTTCTTTCTTATTTCTTTCCAGCAATTTGAGGTGGAATAAGTTGCAAGATGTCATTCCTCTTGAAATAGATGAACTAAAGAGTCTAACCCATCTGTGAGTAATTCCATCATCTTTGAAAGGATTAGTTTTGTTGGAATTTTCTCATATTATTTATTCTATATACTATTAATGTGTTATAATGAATCTTCTGTAGATACTTGAGTTTCAATAATTTGAAAGGAGAAATCCCCAAAGAATTAGCTAATCTTCCTCTGCTACGTTGCCTCTATCTACATGAAAATCGTTTTATTAGGCGAATTCCACCAGAATTGGGCACTCTGCAACAACTCTGACATTTGTAAATTTCATGTTCTATTCCCTACAGTATTTGTATGCTTTACTATTTGTATCTCATTGCAGATAATCTCTCTGTGAGAACCATGTTTTCATAGGGATGTTGGTAACAATCATTTGGTGGGAACTATTAGGGAACTAATATGTATTGAGGGATGCTTTCCATCTCTTCGCAACTTGTAAGTCTATGCTTCAGCGAATTTTGAAATACTTAATATTTTCCAGTTTAAGGCTATCAGAGTCGTAGTTCTTATAAAAACCATTTTTGATCCTTTGTAATTCTGATATGCAGTTATCTGAATAATAACTACCTTACGGGTGGAATCCCAGCTCAGCTAGCAAACTCGACTAATTTGGAAATCTTGCAAGCATTTCATTTTCTTTTTTACTGTATTAAGACTGTTATCTATCTTCTTTCTGGATTTCTTTTTGTTGTAATTGAAACCATCTTAAAAAATTGACTGCTATGTTTGTAACAGGCATTTATCATACAACAAAATGTCTGGGTATCATACCATCTAGACTTGCTCATATTCCCCGATTGACTTCCTTGTAAGTTGTATTTTTGAATTTTCTATCCACTCTACAAATGTGATCCAGTTATGTATGAGGAGTTCTATTTTTGCAATGTATCTAGAGGATTTTCCTCTTTCTAAGAGCAATACACATAAATTTGGCAGTTCGGATTTTAAGTCTGGACTTTTTTAGCTACACTTTCTGGGCATACTATTCATTGGATCACAATTTGGCTGATGTAATTGTATGGTTTGAAATAGTCACATATCATGTCTTCATGACAAGAAGGACAAGACAAATCTATATAATAAAACACATCAGTTTTTGAAAAATGTTGTGTGTTTTAGTTTGGGGTTAAGATTGAATAAATCTAACGGTTGGTGTTATTTCCCTACTGATGAAGTACCTTTAGGCACGGGCAATTTTGCTAGTGGTCAATATTACAATTGCATATTAAAAAGTTATTTGGATTTGCAGGACAAGTTTGTTAGTGGAACCAAAGTTGAGTTAGGATTCCTATTTCATCGATACAGTTTGTTTCGTTCCTTGACATCTGTGACCCAATCTTCAATATTTAGAAGATTTCTTCATCCCTTATGGTTTTGATTCATGGCTTTTAACTGTTGTTTTTATCACAATTAATGCCTTTTTTTTCCCTTCTTTAATTTGCTTTTCCCCTTTTTTTGCATCTTTGTGCTTTTCTGTATCTGGGACAGCATCTTCTTTTTGGGTAGGCATGGGACAGCATCTTAAGCTTGCTTTCATTCAGGTACCTGGATCATAATCAATTTACTGGGAGAATCCCGGATGCATTCTATAAGCACGCTTTCTTGAAAGAAATGTGAGTTTCTGTCTTCAATCACTATAAGAAAATTGCAATTACCCAACACTAGGTCAAATGCTAATTGATTAAATGTTGTCACAGGTATATTAAAGGAAATGCTTTCCGGCCATGTGTGAACCCTATTGGCATCCACAATGTCCTCGAAGTTTCTGACACAGAGTTCTTGTTTTAGTCAAAGCTTCCACATATTATTTACTCGTAGAATTGTTTCTTTTTGTTCTTGCTAAAACTAGGGTGTTTCAGTTTGAATTGGAATGTAGTTCTATAAATAGGATGTATATAATGTACACTAGTGTTTTGGGAAATTTAAGAAATTTTGGAAGTAGGTTGTTTGACAGTTTAGAAAGGTGTTGTTGGATTCTTTGGTTGTCATTATTTTGTGTGAACAATGTCTGGTGGAACACCAGTTGGGGATGTCTGGTTGTTTCAGTTTGAATTGGAACAATGTTTGGTTGTTTGACAGAAATGTAATAAATCGAATGTTAATGAATTATGTATTGTGTCGAATGTTAATGATTCAGTTAATTTGAGTGATACTTTAAAATTATAGGTTTATTATGGATTGAATGAATTATTAGGAATTACAGGTGTATTGTTTTCCTGCTTTGGCGACCAATTTATTAGTCGCAACCAATAAATAATTTTTTTTCGCAAAAAATGACAATTTCCGACCAAGAGTTTTGGTCGCAAAAAATACATCTATTGCCGACCAAAATAACTCTTGGTCGTGGAAACTCACTTTTGCCGACCAAAAGTTATGGGAAGATCTTCCTAGAGACAAAAGAGTGCCCCATATTATATATGTCAATGTGATGTCTTTTGCTTGAAGAATAAGAATTGAGGAAGGAGTGCTAGTGCCAACCATGTGATTAGGACAGGTCAATGAGGTCATGCAATATGGACTATATGGGTCTCATAATTTTTCAATTGAGATGGTAGTGGTGGTACAAGTGATCTCTGATATATTCATGAAATTTTTAGGATGCGTTTGGTAGAACTTTGTAATTATAATTTGAGAGTATGAATTGTATTTTCAGTTTGTGAGTTAGAATTATAATTTAAGTGTGAAAAAATTGTTTGGTGAAAGAGTTTTGAAAATAGTTTTGAATTGAGTGGGAAATTTTTGATGTGATATTTGATATTTAATACAAAAACTTACAACTTATAACCAAACATACAACTCAAAATTCTATTAAAGCACATAAAAAAAATTTAAAAATTCAAAAAATATTTTTTTCGAATATATAAAAATTAACATATCAATTGCAAAAAAAATAAAAAATAAAAATTGCGCTGCTTTATTCCGGTCAACCGGCCGGACGATCGGTTAAGCCAAATTTCAATTTTTTTTTTTTGAAAATCACGCATGAGACAGAGTTTTTTGCAGAGTTTTGTCTTGGTTGTGGAAATACAATTTGAAAGGCGCTACCACATGTGAAGTAAGAATGTGTGGGTAGAAAATTATTTCCAAAATCGTTCCAAGCAGAGTCTTAATTTTTAATTTTATATTTTTGAAATATGAATACAGATATGCTATAAGATTGAATTTTTTTTCGATTAGTGATCCAACTAGGAAGATATTACTAGATCTTAGTGGGCCATTTTGGTTATTCGAAATTCTCATCCTATAGTGCTTAAGTAGACCATTTATGTAAAAAAATTAGATTGATTGGGTTTCAAAAATCTTATTGGATCACATTTATCTTTAAGAAATTAAAAAAATATATTATTAAAATCATACTTGCTGTATATTTATATAAGACAAATAAAATTCAACATCGTAACTAATTATATCTTATTAACTTAATTTTTTTAGTTAACAATTTACATAATGTGTCCTATAAAATAAATTATTCACATCATTTTATGGGGTTCGAAATAGGCACTTAATAATAAGGGTAATTGACCAATGGGGGTTGGTCTAAGTGGAAAAGGACTTGAGTCACTTAAGCAAAAGTCTCGAGTTCGAGCCTTTGTGGATGCAGCAAACCCCCTTGGGAGAGGACTCTGCACTTGCGCCCGGCAGCTTCCTCGGAGGATTAGTCCTTGATCTAAAAAAACCTGGGGATACCGTGGGAGACTCAAAAAAAAAATAATAATAAGGGTAATTGCATTCTAGTGAGATTTTGGAAAAAAAATTCTAATTTATTTGTAATTATTTTTTACAAAATTACATTAATTTGTTTTCCCTAATAATAACTACCCAATTGAATCAGCCTAGGGGAAGCCGTTTTTCATATATCTATATATCCAATGGATGCTAGATGTCATCATTTCTCTCCATGTGAGGGAAATTCCGATCCTTCAAGCAATTCTTTATCCGCTTTTCTTGCCATTTTTTTAAGATTGTATTTGATTTATGAATTTAAAAAAAAAAGAAAAAAATGTTGTATTTGATTTATAAATTTAAAAAAAAAATGTGTAATATTAAGTAAAATATAATTATATTTTATTTATATATATTTTTTTCTTTTTCTAAATTCTTACCAAAACCAATGAAGCAAACAGCGTAAATGGGATGACATGTGGGCAATGAGTGGTACCATGTTGATTAGTTGGCCCAGTCCAAAGCCTTTCCAATAACTCAACAGGATTGATGCTTCTCATAGAGCCTTTATACTTCTACTATTCATTTATCACTTATGTTTGGTGCAACTTTTTACGAGTTGAAAGTTAATAATCACAAATAAAAATTAAGATATCATTTTTTAACTTCTTAATAATCAATTTGTTTAAATTATTTTTTACTCATAAATTGCAAGTAGAAGAAACTCTGCACAAAACATTCAGATAGAAATTCTCAAAAAATAAAAAGTTATATGTAGTCCCATAAACTGTACCCATCAAGGCCTAAGTTTGCTAACACCTTCCCTTGATTTTGATTGGATGTCTTACTACAATTTAATTTTTTTTTTTTTTAATTTTAAGAACATAAATCTTCCCCTCCCCCCAACCCTCGCCCTCCTATTTATGGGCTACGTATAGGACCCCAATGGGCCTTCCAAATGACGCCCACGACAGCGCGATTACCAATTGCCCTATTTCCAATCTGGTTTTTAAGCCTGGTCAGCCCAACTACAAGCCCAGCCCAGTTTTGTTTTTATAACCGACTTTGCTAAACATTGCTACTAATTTACAGAATTTTTTTCCAACAACACGCACATGGGTCTAAATCTACCATTTGATCGGCAAGGCTTGCTTTTAAGATCCATTTAATTTTTAAGCTAGATTTGAGGTTCAAAAATACATAAGTTATCTTATAAAATTGTGTACTTAAACATAAATTTGGGTATATCAATCTATAAAAATTTGAGAAATCACAATTTGGTGTAAATTCTTACAAATATACATAAGTCACCTCACAAAATTACGTAACATAAACACAAATTCACTTAATGAAAATTTGAGAAATTATAATTTGACGTAAGTTCTCACATACGTAAGTCACCTCATAAAAATTTAATACAAATTGGCATAAGTTAACCCATAAAAATATGTCGTAAATTTTAACGAAAGTGTGTAACTTAAGTCACAAAAATATAGACATCCCATATGTCTTGCACACTCAAGAATTATCCTTATATATCATCAATAATTGTTAGGTTTAAACTATAGTGGTGCTACATAGACTAGTTGGTACATATCAATTAGTGTACTAACATATATTATGATATTATCACTTCACAATTATAGATCCCAGCTATTACACAAATTATAAAGATTCAAAGTCTCTAAAATTATACCACATAATCCGTTAGCATACTAATTGATATATCAATTGATTTGATGCGTATAGTTTTATTCTTTAAAATATAAGCCTATTTTGACAATTGGATTAAAAGCTAAAATATCAACATTTTTACATTTTTTAAATTGCATCATTTCTCTATTTTTTTTATATATTTTTTTTAAAAAAATAAAAAATGAATTTTTAATTTATTTCTCAAACTAAGTCATACGGCAATGATATATACCACTAAAAATGATGCTTTAAAGCACCACTAGTG